ACCTGACATTCATAGTAACCCTACATGTGATGAGGCATGTTAAGTAGAAAAATCCTATATCGAGTATATAATGAAGAAGCTTGTGGTTCAAATACAAGGAAGACTATTCCATCTATTGCCAATTGGTTTTTGGTTAGATGCAAGTTTTATGTTGAACATGTATGCACAATTTTTATATAGTATCAAAGCCCAAGTTTTGTCTTAGAAAACTTGTTGTTAGCTTACATGACAAGACTCAAAGTTGGCCCAAGTTTCTCAAAGTTGATATTGGGCTTATAGTAAGGGGGCATATCAAGTCACCTGATAAAACCAGACAATTATAATGGACCTCCACATGAGGTATAATGGACCTCTACATGAGGGGGCATGTCAAGTGGGAAAATTGCATATTGAATATATAAGGAAAAAGCTTGTGGATTAAATACAAGGATAACCACTCCACCTCTTGCTAATTGATTTTAAATTGGATGCAAGTCTTGTGTTGAAGCCCATATATTCAATTTTCACAATTTAATAAGTTGATTTTCTCTGTATCAATTATGAAGTATGAAAAATGGATGATAGCCTAATTAGAATTTAAATTACACCTATACAAGAAGCATAAATCTCCCAAGTAGTCCAAATAACCCATCTCAAATAAACGAAAACATCATAATATGACTAGTCTGAACAAGACCCTAAAGACCAAGATACATAATATGGCAAACATTATCAAATCAAGACATGGAAGTGAGCCCAAAAAAAGCAATAGTTATGCTTGGCAATATGACAGAAAGGTGGAACTAAGGAATATTGGCCTTCAAAAAGGCTTATGAATATTAGCATAGCTTTCTCTTCTTTTCCTTTTCCACCTTTTCTCCTAAGCAGGGCTTTAAAGAAAAACACTCACCCTAGGAAAGTAAATTGATCAGAAGTTTTCTTTGATCTCATTATTTTCCCATTCTAAGGCATCCTTCCAAGCTTGTTCCCCTTTAATCAACTTTAACTCTTTAGCATTTACTTTCTTAAAAGGAAGCCTTTTCAGCTCAGGACACTTGTATATGTGAAGCTCCTTTAACTGGGACCACGCCAATGATGTGGCTTCACTTATGGTTCTTAATTGTGCCATATCCAAAAGTTCCAAAATCTCTAAATTTTGCATTGATCAAAACCCCTCAATATTCATAATCAATACCCCAATCTTGGAGCAATTTTGAATGACAAGTTTTTGATTATTGGGAGTATCAAACCATCAGAGGAAATCTTCATCAACATTGGGAAACTTTCAACTACTATGGTATGTAGTTTTGAAAGACTTCCTTTTGAAATTGGGCCCTTTAAAATGCATCTCAAAACTGGCAAGTTCCTTAAATGCAATTGTTCCAAGGATGATAAGATGTTCACACCTCTTTCACTATGCCATCAACAACAATTTCCATGCTACTGCATCTTTCAACTAGGCAACAACGAACTCCATTTAGGCCTTGGGCTTACATAAAGTCTAACAGACATCTAATATTGTCATCACCAATCAATTCTAATGCATCTGTTTCTATAAACATATTAGAAATGGTGGCACTATGATCATTTCCATTGTGACAATATCATAAGTATCTATTTATTTTATAATTGAAACAATCAAGAATTTCAGCATTATTACTGCTTGGGTCCTAAAAAAAAAAACCAAAATGAAGTCAACTTTTGTCAGCCTTGCTATTCTGTCATGTTTTTCAACAAATTTTGAAGAAGCTCCAATTTTGGAAAATAGATTTTGAGAGAAGTTAGCTTCTCCAAGGAAGCCATAACATGCATAAAAATGTTGGTTGACTCAATGCACCACCGAGCATAAGAGATAACATCAATTACTAGTTCTTCCAATCTAGAAAGTCTTGAAATCACATTATAATCCACCTCCAATTCTTCACAACCATTTTGGGATCTTGGTTTATAGTATGAAACCTTCAAATAGCTCAAGTAAACCAGCTTCTGAATTGAAGGTTGTATGAAGATTACCTTGCAGCCTCGAATATCAAGCACCTCAAGAAGACAAAGTTGTTCAATTTAAAAAGGCAAGCTTGCCAAACTAGTACAATCATTTAAAAAGAGTGCCCTAAGTCTAGTTAAGCATTCAAGGGATGGTGGAAGACTCTCAATTCCTATTCTATACAAGTTCAAAACCAA